TGAAGAAGCTCCCCTTTGATCGTCATCTTTCATTTAAAAATGTCCAGAAAGTTGTCACTGAAGCCGATGGCTATCAGCCACATTTGATTGCTCCAGAACAAGGATACAGAAGGCTCATTGATGGTTCTATTACCTATTTCAAGGGACCAGCTGAAGCCTCTGTAGATGCTGTAATGTTCTTACCCGAGCTGTTCCTTTTACTTCGAGTACACACACACACAAATCCATACTGTAGCTTACTTTCAACTTTGTAAGATTTTTTTGACTATCGTGTATACATTATATGGTTCTGGTTCTTGTAGACCAGCAGGAAGATTTTAACAAGAAGCTTTTGTGTAGGCTATCTGTAGAACATTTATATGTTTGGTTCTCACAAGTCTAACATTCATACGAGGGTCATTGCAGCGTTTCTTTCTTTTAGTAGTTTGTTTTTTTTTATTGCAATTTCTACTTATTCCTTTCTATATAATTTTGTAAAATCGTGAAACTTCTATCTTTTATGCTTTGATCTTCAGGTTCATTTTGTTTTGAAAGAACTTGTGAGGAAGTCAATAGCTGAAACTGAGGTAAGTAGTTATTAGCTGGAAACATTCATTTTCATTTGCCTTTGGGAAATAATATGGCTTCAATGAATATTTTTCATGATTTGTCACTTGTAGTTGAAAACTTTCTTCGAAATATGAAAAGGAGAAGAAAAAGTGTGTGCGAGTGAATTTTTTTACATGCCACTTTTGTGGGGCCCTTGAAGTAGACCCAATATTACAACATTTTCTTTATGAGACTATTTGAACGACTAATAGAGCCCTACGGATAATTTGCTAATTCAATGCAACTCAGGAATTGAAGCGGTTCCCAACACTTCAAAATGACATTGCTACCTTTGCAAATGAAGCTTTGGAAAGATTTCGTGAAGAAGGTCGTAAAACTGTGATACGGTTAGTGGAGATGGAGTCCAGTTACTTGACTGTTGATTTTTTCCGGAAGCTTCATGCAGAACCAGAGAGGAAACCAGAGAAGAATGCAAATCCACCTGGCCCAAATAATGACCTTTACCACGATCATTCTCTCAGGAGGATTGGTATGTGAAGTTCTCTTTGTTGATTATGTTACTACACTTTGTTTAATAGGAGTGTTATTTTTTCAACATCAGTCTTGGAGGAGAATATATATATAAGTAATGAGAAATATGTGTTTGTTGGTACAGGATCAAATGTTAGTGCTTATATAGCCATGGTTTCTGATACATTGAAGAATACTATTCCTAAAGCTGTGGTTTATTGCCAAGTCAGAGAGGCCAAGAGGTCACTGCTGGCCAACTTTTATGCCCAAATAGGTAGAAGAGAGGTAAATTAATTAACTTTACTTTTTATATGCACAAATTCAAAGAAATTTGGTTGTGAGTTTGAAATGAATGTGAGGAGTACACCCGTTTTAGAGGTTTATCAGAAAGGAAAATTAGTAAACAGTGAGACGAATTAGACTCAACGTTGAATATGTTTTATGTTCCATGCATTTCATGAATGAAAAAAGACAATTTCTCTACTGTTATTAATAAGATAGGGTTATTCCAATATGGGAAAGTAGGCATGAAATGCCACATACATACATTACGCAATCCGCACTTTTCTCAGATATAGCAGCCCGTGAAATGGATAGAGTGACCGGGTTATGTTGCTGTTGTGTAAAGGAAACTAAATCATGTCTTGTTACTGCGTCTCGAGCCTTGCTATAAGCTTTTCCGTATTACGACTAAATCTTTGTGGTGGTTATGTAGAAGGAACGACTTAGTGCGATGTTGGACGAGGACCCCCAACTGATGGAGAGGAGAACCCAAATCGCCAAAAGACTCGAGCTTTACAAATCGGCTAGGGACGAGATTGATGCAGTCGCCTGGAAATGATGTCTATATACATATATTATTGAGAGAGAAATACCGATATTCACTTATCATTTTCTTATTTTATCTTTCTGACGTTCATTTCAGAGATCTATTCGTTCATGTATGAGCAGCATATTGTTCCAACGATTGTGTCCCATTATAAAATGCTCAACTTTTAGTGTCCATTGTCTTGATTCATGAATGAAGTATACATTAACCCTTGACTAAACAAACGATCGACAAGCAGAGCATTATTAGTGATTACAAAGATCTGTCCCTACACAACAATTATTGTCATTTGGCCGCAAAACACTGAAAATTTGCAAGTCCTGCATATGAATGCTCCAGTTTTCTTACCACAAGCAGTGCATGGCCCTTCCCAGTTGAACATCCGAGGCAACAATGTTTCCCCCGTCCACGCCATTTATAGGCAAAGTCATTGCCGATATGTGATGGGATCATAAATTATACTTGAAAATGCAGTTTGCATTAAGGATGAGTTCTACAGATATAAACTAATTTATATATCCCTAATATATACAAAAACAAGAATTCAGAAAAACTTTTGAAAAACATGCAACAAAGCATTACAAATAATAACAATACAAAGATCTGCCCGAAGACCACCATTATTATCGTTTTAGGGTTTAGGGACAACTATAGTTCTGACAAATCAGAAGGACAAATACATTGCCAGTGAACAATGTATTCACATCCAATTTCCACACACTCGAGAGCCAAATATTCACAAGGAGCATCACAACGCGAGCATTACGGATAATGGTACATTTTCTTCACAAATCTGAGAGGGTGTGGATGCTGTCTTCCTTTGTAGATTTTTCCAGATTTGATGGATGAACATTTTCCTCTTCCGCTAACACAACAGGGATGAACAGAAGTGTCACAACTTGTGCAGTAATAGAACCGATGGTTTGGGTTTCGATCTCCTTCGCAAATGTCACAAAAATGACTTTCTGAGTAAGTGTTGTCATCTTGATATGTAAGGACCAAAAGATGTTCATCACATTTGTATCAAGCTTTGCCTGGTAGTCTAATACACTCAAAACAAGAAGTAAATTTGCAAATCTTGCATGTGTATGCCCCAGCCATTTCCCGACTACAACGAGTGCACAAGCCATTAAAAGAGTATAAATAACAGAGGGGATGTTCATGTCCTTTCCATGTCAGAGTAAGAGGAGTTGGACATTGGAGGCACAAATGGTCCCCACATTCATGGCATTCATAGCCGAAGCCATTGCAGACGCTGCCACAGTATGAACATTTGAAGATGTTATCTGAGCGGTCCTTCGCAGATATGAAACCAAAAATGCTTCTTCTTAGCAAATTCAACACTTTTCTTGTGAAGAAAAAAATTACAATCTGAACAATGGTAAATGAATCCAAAATGAGTGGTGTGCACCCATCACAAAGCTCATCGTCTTCTGGGATCTTGTCACTTAACATTAAGTTATGTTCATGACTGAAATGCTTGATCTCAATGGCTTCTTCATCTTGGTTTCTTTCAATGACAATATAAGAATCTTCGGATAATATTCGATTCTCATAAAACTTTTCAACAGACAATTACGAAGTACTATCCTTCCATCGTAGCACAATTCGCTTGAACAATAATAATTCCCGTGCTTCGTATTCACCTCATCAAGGCAAACCACACAATCCCAATTCTTTGGCTCAGAGCTCTCTCTTATAATGAAATAGGAGTGAAAAAGAGGGTGTTCATGCCAAACGGATTTTATGATGGATGGCAATGAAATGCATTCCTTATGGACCAAAAGGTTGCAATTTGAGCACATGTAGGGAACAGAGTTCCCGTAGACACCGCATGCATCAGAGCTGAAGGACATTTGTCTTAGAAAATTTGTGAAAGGGTGTTGATGACCTTTACAAAGTGATGGCAGACATGCTACGTGAATGGAGATATTACAAAGTGAACAACAATAGCTAAGTCCCCCTATATCAGTTTTAGGGCAAGCAATGCAAGGGAGTTTTTCAACAGCGAACTGTAGAGTAAGAAGATGGTTGCGGTCAAGTGGATGATCGATTTCAAAAGACAGTTAAACGCATTTCTTATGCAGACTAAATCCGCCATCCAAAGAGTAATAAGCAGAATCAGATCAGGGTTCCCAACAACAACAGCACTTACAGCTTTCTAGTTCTTTGTTACTATTTTCGGTGGAAGAAGATGGATCTTTGTTGGCAATAGCTTGAACATCTCACCTGGTTCACCGCAAAAATTGCAAATAAAGCTTCCCTTGTATTCTGCTGGTAGATCTGGCTAAAGACAGAGGGTGATCATGATGAAAAGGGTGATTAATTTGTGAGGGTGCCTCAGCGCATTGTTTATGTAGGTAAAACCCGCACTCGGCGCAGCTAAAGCTTGGGCCCAACATCATTTCACCGCACCTTGTGCAGCCAGCCGATTCACTCCGGTTGGTCTGCCCTTCATCGTACACCAGCGGGTGTTGATGTCCAAAATGTTGAGACTCCATTTCCGAGCTTGATTGTGGTCTGAATGGAAGAAGATTACAAGTGGAGGAGGAGAGGCATAGGCTGGTTTTTGTATTCAGTGGAGGTATGAAGGTCAACCCTCATGCATTGAAATTGAAAGATCAACCACTGCATGAAGGTCACATCTTAAATTGCCTGCTGGGGTAATGCATGATGTTGCAACATATGCAAGTTGCCAATTGTTCATTTGATTTTCTCATCTTCTTCGTGTTTAGCTAGCGTGTAGTTTTGTCTGCTTTTGAATGCATTCACTCCGCCCATCCCTTTCTCTCTCTTTCTTCTGCATCACCCATGACATAATATGAGAGTTTCGATTTCTCTGCAATTTTTCATTCAGTATATCTCACAAATCTGAGGGGGCGTGGATGCTCTCCTCTGTATATTTTTTTCCAGATTTGATGGATGACTATATTCCTCTTCCGCTAACACAACAGGGATGAACAGAAGTGTCACAAATTGTGCAGTAATAGAACCGATGGTTTGGGTTTCGATCACCTTCGCAAATATCACAAAAATGACTTTCCCAGTAAGTGTTGTCATCTTGATATGTAAGGACCAAAAGATGTTCGTCACATTTGTCTCGAGCTTTGCCTCAAAACATGAAGTAAATTTGCAAATCTTGCATGTGTATAGCCCACTCATTTCCTAACTCATCATTCTCTAGGATCTTATCACCTAACATTAAGTTATGTTCATGACTGAAATGCTTGATCTTAATGGCTTCTTCATCTTGGTTTCTTTCAATGACAATATAAGAACCTTCGGATGATATTCGGTTCTCATAGAGCTTTTCAACCGACTCTATTACTGAATATAGATCTTCCTCCATCGCAGCACAATTCACGTGAACAGTAAAATGACGCTCTGAACAATGATAACTCCCATACTTGGTATTCACCTCATCAAGGCAAACTACACAATCCCAATTCTTTGAGTCGGAGTCATCTCTTCTAATGAAATAGGAGTGAAGAAGAGGGTGTTCGTGCCCAACGAATTTGACGATGGCTGGCAATGAAATGCATTTCTGATGGACCAAAAGTTTGCAATTTGAGCACATGTAGGGAACTGAGTTCCCCTGGACACCGCGTGCATCACAAGTGAAGGGCATCTGTCTTAGAAAAAGTGTGAAGGGGCGTTGATGACCTTTACCTTCTATAACAGATGTCGGTGAGAGACATGTTACGTGAATGCTGAATTTACAAAGTGAACGACAGTAAGTCCATAAGGAAGAATGGCACAGCATATCACGCAAGGGAGTTTTACATCACTGAACTGTAGAGTAAGAAGATGGTTGCGGTCAAGTGGATGATCGATTTCAAAAGGTAGTTCAACACATTTCTTATGCAGATTAAATCCATCGTCCAAATTGCCCGAAATATAAAATTACATAGATAAAATACTTAAACATTTTGACTTAGCAAAAAAAATGATATTAAATATTAACAAACGTATAATGTAAGATGCATCTCTATATAATAATTGAAGATTGACTACAAGAATATGTCATTAAACAATAGTTAATATTAGAATATTAAAATATGAATGTAAAATGTATAAATATAATGTTTTAGAAATAATGTGATTTTTTAGAAACAAATCACGTCCGCAACCATGACACCGCAACCCGCAGTTTAATACTATTATTTCACCGCACCTTGAGCAGCGATCAGCATCACTCCGGTTGGTCCGCTCTTCATCAAACACCAGCGGATGTTGATGTCCAAAAATGTTGGGACTCCATTTCTCCTTTCTCTGAGCTTGATTCAACGTCTGAAAGGAAGAAGATTACAAGTGAAGGAGGAGAGGCATAGGCTGGTTTTTGTAAGTTGTAACTCAGTCGAGTTATGAAGATCCACTCTCATGCACTGAAATCGACAAATCATCACATGAAGATCACATTCAGATATGAACTTAATAGCTTCTTCTTCATCATCACCTTCACCAGAGACAAGTTTTGACTTCAGATTCTCAACATCAAAAGTCTCACCTGATCCAGCCAGACCATGTACTAAATCAGGCAAGGATTGGTGGTTTGATGAATTGACAAATTTAAGTCCAAAGATCATTGAGAAAATCATTAGGAATTTGGGTGCTTATGGGGACCAAAACAACAGCTTTACAGTGGCCTGGCTGACACAGCTGTTCATGGGGTTATTTTAGTGGGGAAAACCAAATTTTCTTGCAGGAAACTTTTCTGGGTTTTGAGACTTTTTTCTGGTTTCAACCTCAGCAAAGACTATAGAACTGGTTTGGAGAGATTGATTGGTGAGAATCTTGATGAAGCAACTGTTGATGACTTGTTGGTATCAGGACATAACAGGGGTGTTTATGATGTCAACCTTGTAATAAGATTGATTAGAGTGTTTGTCAATGGTGAAGAGGTGGATTCACAGAAGATAAAGAAGCTTGGAAGATTGATAGATAAGTACTTAAGAGAAATATCTCCAGACCAGAACCTCAACATCTCTAAGTTCCTTGCAGTTGCTGAGAGTTTACCAGATTCTTCAAGAGATTGCTTTGATGGAGTCTATAGAGCCATTGATTTCTATCTCCAGGTCACCATTTCAACATCTCTAATTTCCTTTGATTTATGTTAAATTGCTAATCAACTAAACTGGTCATTGCAGTCCCATCCAACACTTTCCTTTGAGGACAGATCAAAGCTATGCAGATGTCTAAACTATGAAAAGCTCTCATTTGAAGCAAGCAAAGAGCTTGCCAAAAATCCCAGAATCCCACCAAATGTTTCAGTCCAAGCACTCATTTCACAGCAGTCTAAAGTGCCCCAGAATGGATTTTTATATCAGAGAACTCCCAATGGCAGCCATGGCAAGAACTCACATGGCCATATGGTGTTGTTCAATGACAATGGCATGGATTCATCAGCATCATCATCAGAGTGCTTTTCAGAAGGGACTGAAGATATGAAACTCAATTTGCAGAAGATGCAATGAAGAGTGGAGTTGGAGAAAGCATGGATACTGCCCTATATATATCAACCAAGTAATCTCGGTGATAAATGAATTGTTTATTTCTTGAGGTTTCGGGTTAGAGCACAATGAATGTCACGAGTGTAAGTGTTCAATGTCAAATAGGTTAAAAACTATCTCTGAACATATATTGTCTTATACTTACCCGAGATTAATCAAATATATATATAATTAAAAGGAAAAAAGGAGATGGTGGGAGGAAAAGGCCAAGAGTGTAAGGTGTGTATTCCAAACCGACTTGGATGTGTCATTGTATTTGCCAACCAAGAAGTTCATGTGATTAAATATAATAATCCATCTGGATTATATCTGCTGCTCCCGTGATTGTCTTTAGTAATTTAAACTAATTATTCAAGTCTATCATATTATATAGTATTAATTAATATTATCAATTATTAATAGATTTGTTCATCTGTCAAATGATTTCAGTGGTTAAAGAGAAGGTTATTCTCTTTGGAGGTTTTGGGTTTGAACAACTGTATCTGCAGAGTGTGTGCATTGTCAATAGGTTAAGAAAGTTCTGAACAAATACTACTTTATAATCGCAACAGATTATTCAAAAAAAATGATTTATTAGAATAAACTACTAAGCTTATTTTAGGTTTATATAATAAATAAATACCTAAAGTATATCATCTTTTTCATTTTAGTATCTAAAGTATTTTTTGGTCAACATAAACACCTAAAGTTATTTTTTGGTCAAAATAAGTACCTAAATTATTTTTTTGTTAAAATAGGTACATAAAGTATTCAGTTGTTTTCATCTAAGTGCCTAAAGTATTCTTTAATTAATGACACGTGTCAACTTTTCTAGAACTTAGATGAAAAAGATTGAATAGTTTAGGTATCTATTTTGACCAAAAAATAACTTTAGGTGCTTATGTTGATCAAAAAATACTTTAGGTACTAAAATGAAAAAGATAATATAGTTAGGTACTTATTTGTGACATAAATCTTTATTTTAATAGTTTAGAGAAATTACAATGTGATTTTGGCTTAGAAATTTTCTTAATCATTAACAACACACGTATTCTGTAGATTCAATTGTTCAGAATCAAGAACTTTAGTAATAACATCACTCTATTTCTCATCAAGTTTTTAAATAAGATCAAGTAGTAGATTTTTGATTTTCTTTTAAATGAAATGAGGAGTTGGAATCACACTGTTATTTTATTCCATTATTCTTTGTATTCATATGCTTTGGGTTTGTAGGACCACTTCACCTAAAGAACACCACCTGCACCTTCTTTTTCCAATATTAAACAACAACATTTTGCTTGTGTAAAGTGGTTTGGTTGTTTTAATAATCGGCTCAACTGCCAACAGAAGTGATTAATTCTCTCGTCGTTCAAATTTTCCGGAAAATAAACAAACGATCACGAACAGTATTAAACGCAAGCTGGTCGTATAATACATGTATTCCGTAGTTCCTTTTTGGCTAAGCAGTGTGTCTTACACGATACTGGGAGTGAAATACCCGACTTTTCCCGGATGAATAAACGACATTCAAATACAACAATAGCATAGTAAAAAGATACAAAAGAGAAGCAAACTGCATATCTATGGTAGCCGGCCGAGTTCCCTATTCCTCTTGGTATTTTGAGGGTTCTTTTTGATGACTTGAGTAAAAAGGTAATTACATCTACGACTATGAGCTACTGTTCAGAATCGGTTGCGAAGGACATCTATCTTCTTCCACGGTGGATTGAGGGTTGGTCATCTTACAAAGAGATCGATACTGTAGACGAACATTCTCACCTGTTCCGATGATCTTAAGCATATACCTGCAAGAATTTCATGAAAACCATGGGAACTTTCACCACTAAAATCTAAAGCCCCTATCCTCTCTCAGATGTGCTAACATGTATAATTTGGTTCTTTTTCTTTATTTTGCGGCGGCGCCCCGAGGGGGGGGGGGGAGGAACAAAAGTTCACTTGATATAAATGAAATGAATGCATTGCGAGAGAGACATTCTTCCTACAATAGATGAAAATGAAGGAAATAAAATTTTAAATATCGTATACATTCTCCCTACTTGAGGTTCTGAAAACAATGGTAATGCATGTCAACCATAGAACATTATGATGCTACTAATTGAGGGATTAGCTTATTTTTAATTTTATTGCCATTGTTGTATCTAAGAGGCTTGATTTTAACAAGTCTAGAGTTACATTTGGTTTTCTACGTTTACATTAGGATTTAGCATCTTAATTTTTTATTTTTCCTTATCTAATTAGGTTGTGTGCGTCGGAAACAGTAAGATCTCGGAACAATCCAACTCACCAGCCATTGAGACATTGGGATGTAATAATGGCTTCCTTTCCAACAAACTTTTCTGGTGTTCTCCTGTTTCCCTATACAATCAGTATATACTCCGTGTCAAATTTCAATCCAACTTTTAAGGTGGGAAAACCATAATCAATAGTTGGCAATAAAGAGATGGCAAAATGTACACCTTAATTAACACATTCTCATTCACCGAAAATGGATATTGCACACCCCTATGCAACCCGTCGTCAGCACCAAAATCTCCATTCTCCTACAGAGAAGCATTTGACAAGCATCAAATATGAAGTTGAAAACAACTCTATCGCGATTTACATTTGGAAAGTTTGATTCTAAAAGCATTTGGAATAACCAGATTTCAAGAAGCAACATTTAGTAAATTCTAGCAATATTTATGGCCATACGGAAACTCATGTATATATCTATCCCTTCCCATTAGCATTTGCAAACGAGCCGAGAGTTTATGCATGCCGAACAGAAGTTTGAAAGAACAGTGTCAAGAAATATGGAGAGTATACCCTGCTTGATCTCTTTGATAAATCAATTTGGTCACCCATTTCCTTTCGTCGTTTACGGAGAGCTGCATTATGGAATAGCCTTCGATTATCCTCTTGCTTCACAGCTGCGGCAGCAGCTCTTAGAGCTGAGCGACAAATGGAATAAAAATGGTTCAAGAGGGGGAAGAAAAGGATGGCGAAAATATTTGAATCTATCAGATCATACCAATATTAGGGATCAATGATCCAGAGTCGATGTCTGCACTGCAAAGCGTACATCTCGACTGTGATGCAAACAACAATTGTGGTTATGGTTCTTGTCTCTTCCCATCTA